GCATGTTGTTACTGTCACCTCTTTTCACTGACACTGATAGTAAATTACACGTACATGATGATTGTATTTTGGTCCATTCGATTCGGATATAGATTATAACTGCGAAAGTTCGCTGTGCGATGCAACGTTGTTACCGTCACCTGTTTTCACTGACACCTTTGCTAACTGACATGATGTAATGGCCCAAACGAATGGGAAACTTGCAAAAGTTGTGATTTAATGTTATAATTAATATTCACCTGACTAAAGGCTGAAACCTGAGTGCTGGGACTGTAGTAATGGATCTTACAGACTTAATGAAGGCTTATAGTTCGTACTGGCTGTACCAGAAAAAAACATGGTAGTTTCAGGCTGAGGAACGAACAGAGACCAAATAGATACAAATAACGATACAGAAATATTTGAACCAGTGAGGAATCCGTAAATCACCAGCTTATCGTTAACTAGTTGAGTTTAATCATCCCTACCTTCCTCTCTGATATAATTCTATGAACGTCGTTAACATCCAGATTCGCTGTCTATTCTGTAAAAAGTTGTAATTTAATTTTTGTTAACTTTAACGTCTCTATCGAATTAAATTAAGATCATTTCTGTACACATTGTTAACGTATGAATATTTACATTCTGTATGCTTAGACCCATTGACAAAAATTACATTCATAAATGCATAACACAGGTGTTCATAGAATCTCAGCACGTGGGAACTGATAGTAACCTGATCACACTGCGTAGTAATACACTACAAAAACTACTCACTCGGAACGACCGACCTAGATGCTTAATTCTTACATCTTAAAATATTATTGAACTGTGCTTTGTGAAATATCCACGTATTCACGTGTCCTGTGCTACAAATAAACATTGAATATGGAACTACATTTTGTTGTGTTATTGTTGTTGACGGTTGCTAAGATCTCTCACGATAGTGTCACATTTCCCCGCGAAAAAACACTGTTCTCGCCACTGCGTTGCACCCGTGTATAAGCAGGAACAAACCCTGTTTATTTGTTTTATTCGTTGTTATATCGATCCACTGAAAGGATTCGTCAATGTAAATATAAGGAATGATATTTATTTTTTCAANATGTTAGTTTCTAATAATTGACTCGTATTTTATTAAAACATAACTTTTTGTCTATTGACTTTGGTTTCGATGCACTTTTGTCAGTTTTGTCTTGTTGCCACATTGGTAAAAGCATAAAACATTAACCGTCTCCTTTGCGTTTTTGTTGTCAAATCGAAGACAAATTAATCATACATTCAATTGTGTTCACGAACAGTTCTATTAACAAATATAATAGATCATGATTGTAAGCAATCGGGTTTTAGACCGTCATTAATTTTAAGATTACGCATTTTAATCCTACAATATACGTCTGTCCAGATAGTCATACTAGTATACGATATCATTTAGTTCAGCCATCATGTCACATGAAAGACAACTATTTTAATTAAGCCACTGTTCAAGTCAAATAGCACACGAACTGTATTATAGGCAGTGCGGACGACATGTTTGTATGTGACACTATACAGGAGGGAGTGGGCATTTGTTTGGCTGTGAAAGTGTGTGTGTGTGATGGGGAGGTGGCTGGTAAATGGGATATGTAGATGACGTTAAGAATATCGCAGTACCCAAAAGCAAGTTAAACTTACCAAACTAGTACAACCCCTCCACTGTTATACGTATATCATTTGTAACGTGAGTTAACATGGACAAAGGCGGGTCGAATGGGAACTTTGTAGTCAAGGGAAGAAATCAAAGGTATTTTGCAATACGTACATGTTCAATAAAATATAAGAACTTCATATGAATGTGCTGAATCATATACTTTCGGCCTTTATTTATAACCCCAATCATATTTCATTGTCCATTCACAAATATACAGGCTATAGACATTCTTAATCTGGACGTTAACACATACATGTGTATGTGGTCTATTGAAAGCCTTCCTAATTTGGTATGTCGGTTGACTGAACACTAATTGAGTGTGGTTCATACAGGGCAAACTTTTTGGTATTTGATGTTTGGACAGTGCATAATCACTTAGGATATAGCCATAAACGTGGCAAAATTAACTCAATGTACGTCATAAACAGTTAGACCAAATACTTTGGAAATAATTAATGCATTTTTTACACAATAATCTTAATTTTAATGAAGGAAACGATTTTCCGGTATTTAACCGATACCAACACGATATACCCGATGACGGGTTTGATGCATTATAATAAGAAAGGTAAAGTACGCCTTATATGATAAATGAAAAAAATAATTAAATATTGATATCGTCAGGATAAGGGATAGGATGGGTTTGAAATGTAAATAATATTGTCATATTTATTGAACAGAAAAATGTTTTTACGACGATTGTACTACTTAGTCGTTATACTAGAGAGTTAAGGTTAGCCGGATATTAGTTTACAATATCATAATGTTTAAGAGATAATCTGGTTATAATCATCATGTTTAGGAGATAATGTGGTTATGATCATCGTGTTTAGCGGGTAACTAATTTTGGTAAATGTTTAACGTGTTAAAGGTGAACTTCTAATATTAACAACAAATAGAACTTATCAATGAGTTTTACCCTTGTACAAATCACGGTTAGGATGTGTATGGTGTTGAGTACAACCTTAACCATTTGTTACATTATTAGTGATATGTACCTACTCTTCAGTGTGTTTTATCCTGATTGATTAAAACCTCGTTAATATTCATAATTTCTGCTGTCGGTCGTTCGTCAGAGCAGATTGGCCGGTGTCACTCCGTTATAACCTACGTTGTTATGTCATCAGAATCATCGACAGTGTCAACATTCTAATTATACCAATCTACAAATCGAGTTCCCCTTCCCGCACAACATATATCAAGTCCCGTAACTCTACGTGTTTAGTATAAACGACCATGGATTGATATGCCTCGCAGCGCCTTTCAATGTAAATTAAGTGTTCTAGATCAACTTAAGACAAATAATGTGATGACCAGTGATTTTAAGGATATTTGTGGAATAAACAATTAATCCCTACGTCATGTATACACTTGTTATCACCTGATGCAGTTTCACCTGAACTTTTTATGTTTTTTAAATTGGTTTGGTTAAGCCTCCCATCTTAGTCAGTTGTAATCGGATTTGATACCATATCGCTTATGTCAACAAACATAAAAACATTTTACTGTAGATTGTTATGAGTTATTCAAATAGGAACATAATAATCTTAATTTCACATTTTTGATAAAAGCAGATTTAAAAAATTAAAAAATAATTTGCATATATGTATAACAAAGTAAGAACCGACAATTTTTAATAATCGGCGTGATAAGACATCCGTCGCTACCACTGAATAGTAAGTAGTAAACACAAACACTATTAATCTATAATTATTCCTAGATGTAAAAGATACAGATACTTCATCATCGCTAAACATTAACGTATATTTTTCTCTATTTCAATAAGATTTAAACCTTTGGTATTCAAATCATGACACCTGCTTGTGCAAAACTGCAATTTAATAATGACGGCATCTAAAATTGATGTGTTATGAGAGTAGGGTTTAAACTTGTCGAAACTTAAAAATTGCTTTTAGATACATGTACGAAGCGGAACAGGTGTTTTCTTTTAAACATGTATCATTGTGCAAACACAAATATAAAACAAATATCCTATGTCTGTATGGTAAGAATGCGACACATATTATACAACAGTATGCAATATACCAACGAGTGTCTTGTACCGTGACCGAGGAAGACGACAGCTCAACGGTATGGCAATCGAGATGGGCGAAATCATGGTATAGGTCGCTAAATTTAGTCCGACATTAACTCAAAAATCATAACACTTGCTTGAAATGTCATCTTAATTCACAGGTAATATACTTACGATCACACAGGAACAATACTGTGAACTAAACTCTAAAAGTTCACATGGATATATATGTATTAACCCTATCAAGGCGCATTCTATATGTTAACACTACCAAGGCGCATTCTATATGTTAACACTACCAAGGCGCATTCTATATGTTAACACTATCAAGACGCATTATATGTACTAACATACCAATGCGCATTCTGTATAGTAACCCTATCAAGACGCGTGATATGCATTAACCCCAACAAGACGCATTATATGTTTTAACCCTGCCAAGGCGCATTCTATGTATAAACACTACCAAGGCGCATTATTTGTGTTAACCCCGCCAAGGCGCATTCAGTGTATTAACCCTATCAAGGCGCATTGTATGCAAGCCACATTTTATTTTGCACCTATGATGCTCTAACATTCCGCTCGAAATCTTGAACGACCATCATATTTCAACTATTAAGATATCATTTCTGCTAGAATCAAGGGCCTGTTCAATCAAACGGACATATCGGTTCTCCTTCTTTTAACTGTGATAATTTCAGGTAGTTATTGTTTATATAGTCATAAGACATGGTCATGGTTGGTATTGTTTTTTTAGCAGTAAACAGGAACGAGAGTGTTGTTGTGTCTTAAGTCGTCAAGTATTTATGTCTGCACCTTGGTCAACCAGGAACATCTGTGATGAAATACCACTTTACTGTAAATCCTGCGTGACGTTGGATACAATATTATTTATGGTCTGGATATCAACCACCGTGTCTAGCTGTCATTTTAATTGGTCTTAAAGTATAAAGACGGAAACAAATATTTTAAACTACCATAAAACAAAGGGCGACGTGTTGTTTTGTCTGCTGAACAAAAAGATATTAATCACTTTCTTTCTGATAGCATACTATATATTAAACTGAGTTTCAATCATTTGCCAAAACCAATAGCATTATCTCTTGCCAAAATATAATTTTATAACTTGACTCAATCATAATTTCTTTTGCAGAACGTCAGTAAAGGTATAACCTTTTCTTTTTAAATTGTTGAAAGTGTTAAAGTATCTGTTTTATACAACGAGGAACGTTTCGTCTTATTTTTGTTGACTGCATGCTATACATTATAGCAAATTTTATTGCTTTATCTTTCCAGGCAGTACCATGTTCCAACTCAAAATGTTTAGGTTCGATTATGAACCACCCGCCCACTCGATCAGTCGGAGAACCTCGTCCACAAGAAGAGCTGTTGACGCAGGCGCGGGAATTCATTGACGAGTACTACACGTCCATCAAAAGGTACCCATCTCCAATTTAATTGGTCTTGGTCTATGGACATTTCTGGTCAATGTGGTTATCTACGTCCATTTTAGGATATTGTATCCGTGTCCGTTTTGACTGGTTTAGTGTTTTGTCAATTAAAAATTGATGATAACATGTTAAATATTACCATTGGACGGTTAATGTTAGAATATGGAAGGGACGATAATTTTCTTCAGCTCAGCTCATTCTGTTATTTGTTTGTTTTGGTACCCCGTTCATTCGTATTGTTTGGTATTCACTCCGTTGCTGTTATTTTGGTATCCACCCCGTTCCTGCTGTATTGGTTTCCCCTCCGTTTCTGTTGTTTTGGTTTTCCCTCTGTTCCTATTAGTTGGTACCCATTCATTCTTGTTGAATTGGTATCCCTTCTATTTCTTTTTTTTGTATCCCTTCCGTTCCTGTTGTTTGAGTATCTAATCCGATCCTGTTTTTCTGGTATCCACTCCATTTGGTTTGTTTTGGTATCCCCTTCGTTCCTGTTGTTATACTATCTCATCCATTCCTGTTTTTCTGGTATCCACTCCATTTGATTTGTGTCCCCCAGTTCCTGCTGTTGGTATCCACTCAGTTACAGTTGTTTAGCTATTCACAAATTTCCTTTTGTTTTATTATCTCCTCCATTCATGTTTTGGTATCCCCCCCGTTGCTGGTGTTGTTTTGGTATCCCCTCCGTTGCCGGTGTTGTTTTGGTATCCCCTCCGTTGCTGGTGTTGTTTTGGTATCCCCTCCGTTGCTGTTGCTTTGATATCTACTTCGTTCCTGTTGTAATCTTTTCTTAACGACTTTGGATGAGTATATTTCATTGCGCGTTAAGGCAGTGATTTATATTTCGTTTTTCTGTAAATTTATGTTAATAAGTCACGTATGATAATTCAAACTTGTTTTGATACTCCACACCTTATTGTTGAATACCAAGTTAATTTGCATTGGCTCAGAGGAAAGGTGTCCTAGGAGTAACACGTGTGCACACTGGATCGTAGGAAATGTTTCCAATGGGAAAAACGACCTAAAATTGTGATAATCGTTTTAATTTACAAATACCATTACAGACATTACAAATATGAATCATTCTGCGAAGGTAAACTTGATGTTAGTAAAGACGTTGCTTTGTACAGGTGTATAATAAAGACACACAACTCAGGGAAATATATCCGGATATTAGTTCTGTAGAATTTCCTAGAAAAGTGTCTGTTAGTGAAATAATTGATACCAGATGATATTAGAAATCGTCAAACAGAAATGTCAGCTATAGCAATTGATATCGTTAAAAGATTAGTTAACCGCCAGTCAATTTATTGAATAAAGACAAAATGTCAACCTTTCTCTTTATCACCCACATGCTCTAAAACAGTAATGTTATCAGTGTGACCACAGATAATCGTTGATAATTATTACCTTTCAGTATCTCAATAGCCGTCTTGATATTCTAAAAGGAATGGGAACAGTAATACTCTACCAAATTCAGAAGTGATATTTCGTTATCTGGATATATATATATGTCAAAATGATAGTATGTATCTGTAACTCAATTCACAAGTAGAATGACGTCAGCAGGGCGTTTGATAATGGGCCTGAAACAATCGCACCGAATTCCCAAAGACAGGACAACTACTGTATAGTAGCCTGTGAATATTTTAAGATAGTGTTAATTGATTTATAAGGAAACTGAGCTAATAGATATAAATTGTGAAGCTCGATTTGGCGATTACGATGAACTTTCAGCTGAGTTAAATCTCGTAGTTTTTTTTTACTCCAACACATGTGTCTGAATTATTCAAAGATGCTGTGAACTCGTACCATTGATGGCATCACCCCCGAAAATCACAATCATCCAAACATAGCCTACCAATGAATATTTTATACTTCACATATCTTTAAAAAGTATGTGGTCGGGTTCATGGTGAAAATAGTTACTAAGAATAGAAGTAAACACTTCACTGTAGTGCTGTATCTGCGTAACACATAATGCCAGCTCAGGAGACAACGTGTCTTCACGGGCAATTGGCATGTAAATATCGAAATGTTACTTAAAGTTTATACCGTAATATAAACATGTTGTATAGACGTGTGGTAAATACAGAGAAGTGTTAGTTATAAACAGGTGCTTGGTACACACAGGGGTAAATATACAAAGGGAATAATTAAAGAACGGGAGTTAGTACAGACAGTGGGACTAACAAAACTAATGGTATATTCAATTATAGAAATTAACAGATACATTTGTATTTCAAAGAAAATTCCTCATTGTCATTTTGATTAAGCCTCTCATTCTTTGCATAACGTGAGAGAACTAAGAAACAAGTGTTTACAAATTTAGCTGCGAATGTCGTTTGTGTTGAGGATACAATAAATGTCAGCACTTAAAACATCATGTAAACGTACATGCAATACTATATGTGTAAAGTCGGTAAAATGAGTATCATCTTTGATAGACATTTATCATATCTATCATACTTTATGATATATTAAGATATTCCTTTTTACTTTTAAAATGTGGTCTGTTTATCTCCACTTAAGAATGATATTAAACAATTTCATAGAAAGGAAAGACTACAAAATGTATAAACACGAAAACCTCTGGAATAAACGTTGTAAATTATCCGTCCTTATTCTGTCATGTCGATTTGGTTGATGTGAGTATAGCTCAAACAACTGTTTTTTATCCAACCGGATTCGCCGCAATACCGCAAATGACGTGATACAAAAAGAAAGTTTAACAAAAGTTACACGAGGGAATGGTATTTAAACAACCAAAGAACATTATTATTTACAAAAGATATAAAGAATCAAATGTGCTTAGTTCATCTGTATTAATTGATATTTAACCCATTGAACGTACATATTGCAATACTGTTACTCAGGACTAGAGAATAATTAATATTTAATTGGCTGGAACTGATTAACACTTTTTCAACTATTTTTAATCTTTATATTTGAAATGTATCTACACAATAAGTGATACCGATATACAGCCGTATCAGTAGTGTGTACATGCATCTCTCGTGTGTGTTTTATGTCAGGTTTTGTGTTGTGTAATAATTCTATCTAACCTTGTGATCAGATTAAACACAGAGGCTTACCAAAAGCGATGGCTGGAGGTTGAGGCCAGCATAGAGAAAAAAGGTACCTACGAACTCACGACCAATGAGTTAACGTACGGGGCGAAGACGGCGTGGAGGAATGAGGCAAGGTGTATTGGACGTATTCAGTGGAATAAACTACAGGTAGGTCAATGTTACCTGGTTAATGATAGGACAATACTTTCACACTTATGGTACGTATCGAGTGTAATAAACTGAGCTGTTCCATGTGTATCGGATGTATTCAATTGGAAAAAACTCGGTTTAGGCAATAACATTACCAGATATATTGGATGTATCCAGTGGAATTGACTCAGGTTTGGCATCATTGCCAGTTGTATCCAATGTATCCAGTATAATACACTACGTATTGGTCAATATTATTTACAAACGTTGTACGTATACAGTAGAATAAACTGCAGGTAGGTCATAACCTGAGATGCATGGGACGTATCTAGTAGGAAAACACTACGATTAGTGATAATTACTAGTAGTGTTGGAAGTACTAGTTGGAATAACCAACAAGTAAAGCAATAACATGAAGATTAATCAGTTTATCCATCGATACTGATTCTAACGTGTAATCCAAGCAGTTATGTAAATAGGCACTGTACCCAATGGTACATTGTTAATAGAACAAGTAATAGAAGGAACTAAAACTTTATTCTCGCCATTCATCAAAATAGTATATATAGCTTTTAAAGACATAACGTCAAAATAGTATATATAGTTTTTAACGACATAATGTCAAAATAGTATATGTAGCTTTTAATGACATAACTTCAAACTTGATTGACGTTGAAAATGCTGTTTCGGTTTTAGGTATTTGACGCTCGCCACATCACGACTGCACGAGGGATGTTCGAGGCTATTTGTAACCACATTAAGTACGGTAACAACAAAGGCAACATCAGGTAAGAGAAGATGATTGGTTTATCTTGTTAACTTGGCATTTGATTGGTTGGTTTGTTTGTACATTGTTATTGGTTTAGCTCGTTCAATTGACAATTTCAATTTGTTTGTTCATCACTCACGATGTATACTAGGTTTTTTGGGGTTTTGTTTTCTTCGAGCAGCAACTGTTCTCCAACTTTGCTTATACAATTCTGCTAATCAAATAATCTAGTATTGAAAGATATAACGAAGCTGACAACACTTTTATTAACCTACATGTATGTTAGTTTAGCGAAGATATTGAACCCATGACCGTTGATTTCAACACCTTTACTGGGTGAATGTAAGTAGCTGTTGCCAGAGCGATCTACGTTGACCTCTTGGCATTCTATTTCCACCAATTACAAGTTACAATTTGTTTGTTTCCATGTCAATTCCTTTCAAATTACTGTTATAAAGTCGATGCGCCTCTTTTGATAAGTTATTGCTATACATCATTTCAGTTCATATGTCTCCTGAATTAATCGATGGAATTTCTTAAACACTAAATACGATTTTAATTCTGTGATTCCTACAAAAAAAAAATGATCGTACCTTTTTCGCTCTTCAGATCGGCAATAACTGTTTTCCCGGCCCGAACCGATGGTAAACATGACTTCCGGGTATGGAATTCCCAACTTATCCGGTACGCCGGCTACAAACAGGCCGACGGATCTATCATAGGGGATCCAGCTAGCGTTGAGTTCACAGAAGTACGTCATGAATTTTGTTGTGTGTCACTATTGTGTGATTTTAGGTGTAGGGAATGGCATGCAGAAGACGTAGTAAGCAGGCCTAGTTAAGTATTTGTAGTAGTCTGGGGTATTGGGATTAGTGTGGAGAGGTACAGTAAATGGTGTAAGTGTTTAGGATGATAAGAGTGGTGGGATATGAGTAGGTAGTATGAGAGATGGGAGTAATTTCAGCACCCTCCCGGTGTGACATTTTAGTACAATATTCTCAATGTTACGGACCTTAAACATTCCTTATTTTTTCGACGGGGAAATGCTACAATTATACATTTCATTTCAACTTTTCAGTGATGGTCAAAGCGTTCAAACTAGTAATTATTTAATGGTAAAACATTAAGCATTTAGTTTTCTTATTTTTGGTAGTTATGCTTTTCTTTACTTTCACAAAACACCTTTATGTTCCTATGTAGGTGATGATTAAGCAGGTAGATACAAAATATCACCTAGACCACTAGAACAATACAAATATAATGGTTCTTACTGATTGATAAAATAAATTAGGAAAGTCTCATAATGTAATTGGGGAAAATGAGACCTGTCACGCCATAAGTTAGGTTTAAACCTACATATTACTATTGACTATGTGTCTGTACTATTGTGTAGTCACAGTAGAGGCGATCGATTAGGATGTAAGCTACGAACACAAGGTCTCAGGTCAATGACATACTTCGACGTTCAGGTTTATATCGGACATTTGATGACTTTATAAGACATCGTATAAGATGTTTCTTGACTTTAAAGGACATTTCATGTATCTTAATATTTGTAACGTTAACATTGTTGAAATGTGATAACTGACTTTGTAAACATTTTAAGTCACGTGTGTTAACACTGTTAACTTATTAAGACTTGTGACTTTGTGCAATATTTAATAACTGTCTAACTTAGAACAATGTTTAGTGGCTGTCTCATTTTGTGCAACTGGTAGAGAGTGTCTAACGTTGTATAACTGTTATTTTCTGACTTTACGCAGATTTTCGTCAGGGTCTATATTTGTATAATACTAAGGAACCAGCGCTATCTATACCATTCAGTAACTGTTATTCGTCTTTGTCTGATGTTGTACTACTTATTAACCCGTTGTTTGGCTGTGTATGTAGATTTGTGGCTTTATGTAACACCTTGTGACAGTCTGAAGTTGTTTGGTTTAATAAAACATTGTATTACTATGTATTCCTTTGTTCGGCTTTGTTTCACATTACATATTTAGCATTATTGGCAATAGCGGGTACTGTGTTACATGTACTGTGTATGCCTTCTATAGCTTGAAATATAGTTGTTTTTTCAAATACTCATGAGTCATTACTTGCCCGCCAGGTTTGTCAGAAGATGGGATGGAAAGGCAAAAACGGCATGTTTGATGTCCTTCCCTTGGTACTGCAAGCCAATGGACTGGATCCAGAACTGTTCGAGATTCCTCAGGACCTGATCATGGAGGTTAACTTGAAACACCCAAAGTATGAACTATTTTACTTTTCAAATAGAGTTGTTCTGTATAACTCATCATTGTGGAAGTCGTAAATGTGTATTATGCAAATTTCTCCTTCTCTGATCTGATAGAATCTATGGAGATTTCATGAAAGTGTCTTTGTAAATATACCAAGCGAAGGGAATGGAAATGAAAACCAAAAATAAAATTGTATCTTTCTGCTGAAGAAGTATACGCAGTTTTATGACTACCTAAATCATATGTAACATACACTTTGTTTACATGGTAGACATTTATCACCAAATATTGAATTCTGCCAAATGTTCCTTGTGTCGTTACAGATTCCCTTGGTTTGCCGACATGGGTCTGCGGTGGTACGGTTTGCCTGCTGTCAGTTGTTTATTGTTCGACTGTGGTGGTCTGGAATTCACCGCAGCACCATTTAATGGCTGGTACATGGGCACAGAGATTGGTGCCAGAGACTTCTGTGACGCACAGAGATATAACATGCTTGAGGTAACATTATGACTTGTTACTGAATCTGTTTCATTCTTGTTTAACTGATGTTTTTAATTTATTCAGATATTATTTAGCACGTGAAATACAATAGATGGCTTACTTATTAAAATAAAGTGCTAACTAACACATTATACATGTTATCTGTGTAATTATCTCGAGTTTTATAAATGCATTATTTTCCTGTAACTACCATTTAATGTGTCGTGCATTTAGAAAGTATGAGCTTCATTAATAAAAAACAAAGTGCACAGGACAGTAGAACTAATGTATAAGCTTGCGTCAAATATATCATTATATCACGTCATGTATATCGAATCATTGTCTGTTTGACTAGGTTATTGCGACCAAGATGGGTCTGGATACACGAAAGAGTTCTTCGTTATGGAAGGACAGAGCCCTCGTAGAAATGAACATATCTGTTCTTCATAGTTTCCAGGTAGGCAAGACAAACGATGGACACTCTGCTTTCCTATCAATCGAGCTTCATGAAGAAAAACGTATTCTTATACATCCTAACATGAGACTGATGTATCGATTCATTTATATATAAAGTCTTGCATGCTGTTTATTTCTATCTAATTAGTCGTTGTGGTGTTTACGTTCTATATTTGACAATGTTATCATTTCCTTGGTGTTAACGTGTTATATTATTCTATCGTTATCAGTCCCAGGGTGTTGGGGTGTTTACGTTCTATATTTGACAATGTTATCATTTCCGTGGTGTTAACGTGTTATATTATTCTATCGCTATCAGTCCCAGGGTGTTACCATCACCGATCATCACGCCGCTTCGGAGTCGTTCATGAAGTTTATGGAGAATGAACAGAAGAATCGCGGCGGTTGTCCGGCAGACTGGGTGTGGGTTGTACCTCCAATGAGTGGGAGCATCACTCCGGTATTCCACCAGGAAATGCTGCGCTACAAAATCAAACCTTCCTATGAACCTCTGGTAAAGTTCTTATTTTGTTTACCATTGAAAACAAAGCAATGCAAAGCTACAAATAAAAATAGCAATGTTTGGAAAAAAAACTTGAACCATAGGTTGTGATAGTACAACGAATTCAGCGTAATCTTACACACTTTAGTTAACGTTTTGGTGTAAATCGATTTGATATTGGAAAAAGGGCGCTTTTGATTTATCATAATAAAACATACCAGATTCATTTTGACGACAGAGCATGCACTACAGTATTGCTGTTTATTCATCGAGACATACATGTACGCTTGTTGTTTTATTTAACGTGAATATGAACATTTAGATACATATATGAACTAGATGAACACGCGTGTTCTATAATACGATGACAAAACTTAAATATATGATGCAATTTCATGATGCCAAGATTCTGATTTTATCTTTATTTGAATCCTGACTTGACTAAGATATTGTCTAACCCTACAATGTGTTGTCATTAAAACAGAACTACTGACAAACTGTCTTACCCAACAGATATAGTACCCTTTAATATCGATAAATGATCCCCGTACCACTGTCAAAAGCTCAAACTAAGTACTGGAAAATCTTTTTCCGGCATGACTATAGCCTTGATAATTTTTATCTGAAAAGAAAAACATACTTTGTCGGATTTCAATAAAAACTGATAAATGAAGATGAAATAAACAAGACAAAATCAACAAGAATATTCTGAGTCTAAAAACTAAAGCGGGGCTAGACCGAGATCAACCATGGACTTATTATACTATCGATGTAACCAATTGAGCTATCTGGTCAGCGGGAGTGTACTAGCCTACAGGTGATACAGTTATATCCAAAGGGGAGTTAGGGGGAGTTAACTGTAAATAGAAAAAGCGAAAGTACTGTAGGACAGGGACCCCTGAGACGGATTTCACTGAAATATGATATGTTCAAATAGTTTTATTAGTAAATTCAAACTTAAAGAATGCAATTAACACTAATGCATACCTACCTTTTTACGTGGAACAGGAAGATCCATGGAAAACATATGTCTGGAAAAAGGATAGGGACAAGACCAAGTCACTTGACCGACCAAAGAGGAAATTCGGATTTAAAGAACTCGCACGGTGAGTATTTGTATAAAAATGAATTGTGCCATCAAGTGGTCATCTTCTATATATAGTATCACCAAAACCGTTCATAATCGATCAATGATCACGTTCATTACGTATTTCATAGATTATATATATCTAAATATTACTGTAAAGCACATGAGAATGCCTTATTTTGGGACACTACATCAAACATAGTGTACTATATAGTGATAATCATTATTTGCTTTCTACCTTGTCGTGGAGGTTACGGCACTTTTTATTCATTGATAACTTTGCACTATTGGAAATATTACATGCACGTGTATAAACTTATTGCGCTCATTATTCTATGTACTTCCAATGGCCTTTCAAAAGCTATAGAGTATTGCAGTTGTTAACCATTTAGCGGCCGTGTGCGACCGGCCCTGAACGAATAAGCTTTGTCGAGTGAGAGTATATGCATGTACATAACTATTTTTCCGTATAACTTGACTTTCAACTGACGAATGTCTTATGGCTGCACCCGCGAGATATTCCTAAATCAATTTTGACATCGGCCTGTTGGTGAATTAGTATGAACCATCGAGGGAGAGATATTTGCACGCGGAGAATAGCCTAATTTAATAATACGATTCTATAAATCATACTGCCTTATACTCATGAATTGCACTAAAATGGATGTGAAAAACGTCCAAAAGCATTTGCTTCATGTGGCGAGTGTTTATATATTTTCTAACATATTCTCATCCTCCTTTATTATCTACCACAATACAAACACACATGCAGATTACTTCTTAAATATACGTAAATATGTGTATCATAACTAGGATGTAGATTTAGCTTAGGATTTATCATATATAACCGGATACTTGTAAAGGCGCAGGTTTGGTATTATTAATGATCATATACAGCTTCATTTACTAGAAGAAGGGAAGTGATGATACATATCGGATTTGTGACGAGAAGGCCAGGCTCATGACTGCTCAATACGTAGTCAATATCCATATAGCTTAAACATATAATCCATATAATCCGACAAAAAACTACGTCTGTCCGTAGCGTGCTATATACTAAACGAACATGAGACACCTATGTCAATATTAGGATAAAAAGTAAAGATGCTCTCTTGTAATGTATGTTCAATTTGGTGTAAATTGATATTACACTACCGTTAATTGTCATCAAGGCGACAAAATGTCAACAGCACTGTTTAAACAACTGACATTAATTGATCAAGCCTGTCAGAGGCCGTAGTATTGAAAGATGAGACAATTGTCAATAACACCGTCACACCGTAATGTATACTGTACTAGATTATCATGATAGACCTAATTTGACCTGTCGAGTGGTATTGGTCCTGTAGCTGATACGGTAATCGTAGGGGCAGCGTCTCTGTCAGAATGAGTCTGATATAGTGGCTGATATGGTGATTAAAAAGGCGACTCTGTATGAAGGGTTGCTGTAGGGGGATGTTAACATAGGACAATCTCAAAATGGTCAATAATGCAAGTAAAACGTTAGTTAACTTTGTAACAGACATACGATTATCAGGTAATATCATGCTGTGTAGAACACTGGTTTGTTAGAATATACTCCACTGTGTCGAACAATCAGTAATATATTAACATTTGTCGTGTAGACAGGTTGAATATTATAATTGTGCTTGTACTAGTGCATTATGCTTTGACATATATACAATTTTATATAATTAAAGGAAGCAGTAACATGTAAAAATTACGTCACAATACCAATCAAATAACGAGTTAATTACGTCTAAATGAAATATACTGTTTAACAGTTAAAACACTGAAGCAACGATGTGACAGACAACCGTCCACATTCACATGGAACAAACCTTTATTGATATCTATATCTATTAAATTGCACATCTTTATTATCAATGTGAATTTAGAGTTCATAGTTATGCAGTCAATGTTTATGTCCATACAATTGCGACATCTGTCGTGTTTGCCAGTTGTAGGACCCTCCTTGGTCTGTTTTGCGTAACACAAATAACATATATGTGTAAATTATTTAGACCTCTTTTGTACTGTAAATCTAGAGTGTATTTGTTTAACCAGTGGTACTAGTCCTCATCCATCCCTAATAACGATTATAAACGACCCGTGTGGACTTTGCATTGTTTGATATATTGACTTCATACAACAACGACCCTAATGTTTGAATAATTAAACATTGCATTGTTCTTTTTCTTGCAGGGCTGTGAAGTTCTCCGCCAAATTAATGAATAAGGCTCTAGCGCGTCGTGTGAAATGTACCATACTGTACGCAACAGAAACGGGTAAATCTGAAAGGTTCGCAAACACCCTGTGCGAGATCTTTAAACATGGATTTGATGCTAAGGTAGGGCATTGATTTCTTCATAATCACTATTGCTTATAAAACATTAAGAACCCACTCTGTTATCAAAAATGTCCTCGTACAGTATGATGTAAGTCAACACATATAACACTATTTCTATATCAATTAGAGATTTAATAGCACAAATGGTATCACAGCGACAAATAAAATATGAGTTACTGTCTATATTTAAACTATGTACCATGCATTAACATGGATATGTATTAATATTTGTTTCAAGAAATCACTCTTACAGTATGATCATTGTTGATGTCTTATTTGTACATTGTCCAGTATCCATTACTGTAAAAATGGAAATTCTTGCGTGTTCAAATGTTCGCGTTTGGAATAGTTCTGAAATATACTTATTATATATATCAAATATCTATAAGTTTATATTCAGATTTGAATATTTACGCGATAATATTTACTCAACGCGAAAAATGCGAGCATTTCCACACCGCAGAAATTTCTTCTTGCAGTACTAAAATATGAAGAAAAGCAAAGTAAACCATATGTATTGTTTACAACCTCATGTATGAAACAAACCTTTAATGACTCGGTTGCTTGAATATTGTATATTTGGCCGACTTGTGTATTAACAATTTGTGTTATGTGGTGTCTACAGGTCCTTAGTATGGATGCATATGACTTCATTGACCTCGAACACGAGGCTCTTGTTCTCTTCGTCACAAGTACATTCGGCAATGGCGATCCTCCAGAAAATGGAGAGGTATTGTATTTTCATTGATGTATTTAGGGACAAAGAAAACAAAATGAAATTAATCATATTTAATGAAGTGCACTTAGTCAAAATCGTTGATCATCTAATTTAAGATTATATGAACATACAATAAATAGGTATTAATGGACATATATGCGAGGAAGCAGATCCGCAAGAAAGTTTGGTTATATTGTTCTTTTGTTCGTATAAACATTCCTTTTTTGAAATTTAAAGTTGCTCTTTTTATCAATTTTTACACAGGCTTTTGCCAAGAACCTGCACGACCTCAAAAGCCCCAAAAACACAAAAAAGTAAGTATTCGAGTTTTGTTTAAGTATGAAAACGAAACGAATGAATCGGAATATACATCAGAATTTCCATCGGCTAAAGTAGGGTGTTATTGAGATAATATAAACAACTCAGGAAACCACAAAATAAAGGAAAATAACTGAAACAAAGTGCGAACCAAGTTCTCCAGAGGGTTGGTTATGGTACCTCCAGTCCCATCAAGGAAAGGTTGATATAGCAGTCCAAGGTTTTCCGTCTTTGCGTATTGCAATGACGTCGTTTTCTCAAAAAATGATGACGTTACTCTCACAAACAAATGACGTAACAATCAATACCTGCTCACAAGAGAAGATAACGCTGCAATACGCAAAGACGGAATAGAGAAAAACACCTTAAACACTGATGCATCATAGGTAGAAACAGGTCATTATGGGGACCTTAACTGCTATAGTTACGGTGATTATAGTAACAAATCAATTTATCGAATGTACCTGTATGTTCTTTATCGAAAGATAAACGTGCCTGAGAAATTAAAAAGACGTAAATATATAATGATAGTACGATTTGGTTTTATTTTCAGTGGAGAGTGTATGTCAATGTCCTACTTCCGTATGAGCACAGCTAGCGACTCCGACTCGCCTTTGGAGAACAAGGAAAAGGATGTAGATGAGGATGATAACTTGAACGCAGAGACGGGCGCTCTCGGCAACCTCCGTTACTCCGTGTTTGGGCTGGGATCTCGGGCCTATCCTAACTTCTGCGCTTTTGCCCATTTTGTTGACAACATGCTGAATTCACTCGGAGGAGAACGGATATCAAAGATGGGAGAGGGAGACGAGCTCTGTGGACAGGAGGAGTCCTTTAAACTGTGGGCCCAAGATACGTTCAAGGTATAAGATTAATAATTATAAAATGATAGACAATATAACATTCAGCTATTCAGATTAACTGTTCCAGATTCCTTCCTAAAATTACATCGAAGTCAAGCCGGTCGACGACATTGTATGAAATTATTTGTAATACAAAGGAAACCTTTGGAATTTAAAAGTCGATGTGGTTGATAGTTAGATGGGGCTTCAAACAGATCAGAAGCACCAAAAGTAATAGCTATCATACATATAATTTAAAGAAACGTCTACAATTCTCATTTTAAAGTCCTACATTTTCAGATGGCGTGCGAGACGTTCTGTGTTGGTGATGCCACAGCGATCCAGGAGGCGACAGGTGCACTTTCTAGTACCGACTTTTCGTGGTCCCCCGGCAAATTCCGGCTAACTCCGGAGGATAACGACAAGGAAATCGACATCACGGGATGTATGTCATAATCAGTATTTAAGCATTAAACCTTTCATAGAGCTTAACACATTAACATCAGATCAAGAGAGAACCGTTTAGTTGAGTGGTAAAAAGTCTTTTTTTCTATTTAATTGAAATGATCTGACAGCAGTTCTTTATGATAAAAAACCATATGTTCTTGACGAATGCAATGATATATGATTCTAAGAAATAATATAAAATAGTGATTATCTTGTATTTATTGGATAGTTTCATCAGAATCCCATTGCAAGTGCATATTGTTTCTGGAAGTATATGTTTCCTAAAACAACTGTCACGTTAGATAATTATAAGAACTACAAATACAAATTTTCCGGTGGGAACAATTGCACAATGTAATGGAATATTTTACCTCCAGCTCTGACTAAACTACACGGGAAACAAGTACAGACGTGTAAGCTCATATCGATTGACCAACTCCAGTCCAAAGACTCCAGGTAAAAAAATAATATTTTGATATATATTTCATTTCTTATAAATAAGCAATCAGAATTATACACTAAAATAAATAAAGACTAAACATGATAGCATAACATACACAAGTTTGTCTACATTTGAAAAAATATTATATAAATACTATGTATTCAGTGGAAGATTGGCTTTATAAGAATAACCTGCTACTAATAAATAACCCGACTAATGTTGTCATATTCCTGAAGTCAATGGTAGTTCACATGGTTCCTTTCCCGCGATCCTCGGTCACAATACCGTTGAAGCGAAAATACAATAAGCGTTTTCGTCAGTATTAAGTGGGTAACACTAATTGCATATGTCTTTATTTCCAGTCGAGAGACGATGCTTGTTAGACTAGACACCATGGGGGCGGAGGAACTCAATTATGCTCCAGGGGACCACATTGCAATATTCCCGGCCAATTCAAAGAAGCTGGTGGACGGGGTGCTCTCCAGACTGCAAAATGCTCCAACTCCTGATCAGCTGATCAAGTTGGAGGTTCTGCAGGAAAGAACCACGCCCTTAGGTATACATCAATATCACTATCAAGTTCTTCGTTGGACAAACACCACGTCGCTATACGGTTAGGTTGGGTCGTTGCTTGTGGATTAAGGTAGTCCAAGCAAATGGGTGTGATTTAACAAAAAAAGCAACATAATGAAACCAACTATTAAAAAACTGATACAGGTTCTAACTATTGTATTGCAGCAATGTATTTCTTGTAATTACCACACAGAGGGGGCTCATAATCCGGAAAGGAAGTTCGCATAATTCGACCATTCAGGAGTATTGCATTAAAATGTTTAATTTTACGTCATTAATTAACAAAATACAAACTATATGAATAAAATATATATTTCGTCCTATTTTTCATATTTCAAAAAATAATAAGGATTTACAAGAATATCGCTCTAAATGACAGTTAGATGCATTTATATATTCGATTTCGAATATTCATCTGTAGGTCCAATGGAACTAGAGTATTCGTCTTCGTCGCAAAAGTTCGGTTTATCCGCATAACAACATATATACGTCACGTTGTTAAATAGGCAAACAAACTATTAGTTCATGACACTGTTACGCAGTTTACATATTACTATTTCTATTACTACTTGTTGGACAGGATCCGACTGGTTCCATCAATTATATATATTTAGCAATATCTGTTACTATTACAACGACGTGTTCCAGGTACGACGAAGAGTTGGTGTCACTTCCAGAGGATTCCAGTGTGCACGATGCGTACAGCCTTTTCAAACTTCATTGACATAACCACACCCCCATCCCAGGCGTTCCTCCACCTACTGGCTACACAGTCCACACGGGATATGGACAGGATCAAGCTAGAAAACCTAGCAAACGTAAATATCTGCAAACTTTATATAAAGTTTATAATTTCGCAACATTGCTGTACAGGTAACCAATACAAAAAGCGCACTCATTTATAGCTGCCAAAGGGACCATTGGGTCTTGAAACGTTGCATTACCTGTTTATACATGTTTATTGTTTATGTGGAAAGTAAAACTGATACATATTTTCAGTATGTAATCTTTTTCAAAGGTGTTATTTGAACAAAAGGTTCCCTTTAACATCAAACCGATCGAAGTTTCCAAACTCGATCTAGTTACTGCAACCCTTGACAGGCTGAACGGTACAGTCATAACTTCATATCTATTGGGCCGATTAGACTGGTTTGTTGAAGCTTCAGGACAATTATATGCTAGTGGTATCTCTCCGTGACATACACGCTCGGACTATACGGTCAAAGATATATTTGTTACAGGCTGTATCTGTATGTGAAATGCAAGTCAATACGACACTGACAATGGTGATTAATTGCTTGCTTTGTCTACACAGGACATCCACGCGTACGAGGACTGGAAGGCGGAGACGCAGCCAAACCTGGTGGAGATACTGGAGGAGTTCCCTTCGGTCAAGGTCAATCCGTCCTTGCTGATGACACAGATGCCTCTGCTGCAGCAGCGCTTCTACAGCATCAGTTCCTCTCCACAGGCTTACCCTGGGGAAATCCACGCCACGGTAGCTGTTGTCAGATACCAGACCATGGGTACGCTCACAACCTATTGCGTACAAATTATCGCATTACATGTTCGTAAACTTCAAAAACAAATGGTTCAAAAGAAATGGCACATGACTTATAGTTCAATAAAACAATGAATGAGTAATATCGAGGTTAATCGAATGTATTCACAAAACATTAAGGATCTAATTTTTACGAATATTTTGTGTACAAAGAGAGAAATCTAACTTAGCATTAATTTACTGTACGTGATTGAATAGTAAGTTATCGTATTACACATTTAATTGTGTTTTGCTAACGGTTCAGCATAACATAATTTATTTGTATTTGTTATTATTACAACAACATGTACATGGTTAATAATATCGATTGTATAATTGACCCAGGTGGTGTGGGACCAGAGCACGAGGGTGTGTGTTCCATGTGGCTGAGCAGGCTACAAGTAGGCGACATCGTGCCTTGTCTTGTCAGAACGTAAGTACTCTTATCCACTGAACCTGTTCGTAGTCGAGTATTCCTTTTTACACTACCATGATCGTCCTCAAAGGACTGACAGTCCTTAGTCTTAAAGAGTCCTCCCCGTCACAGAACAAGAGCTGAATAAAAAGTTAACCCTTCGCCTATGTACCAGTTCATGATCGAATGGATTAAATACTCCTCACATTATATTAGTTTGTTATTTCAACTCATCAGTGTTAACAGCTAATAGCATACAGCTACTAAGCGTACATAAGCGTACACTGTTTAGCTTACTTTACACTGTCAGCTTTAGTTGAGGGTGCAATGTACAATGTTGATACACGTTCATTAGAATTCATCAACGGGTGAAGCCTCGTTAATATTCCAGGCTGCGATGCTAATGTATTTCCCGGTAATATATGAAATTACGCAATGTAGAATCTGAAATTTTAGAACTGCTTTACAAAGAACACTCTTTTTATGTCTTTTTTAAATGGAGAAATGCTTATTTTCTTTCGGTGCAGCCGTACCAGGTAAAACATGTTGTTCGCACGTGCTGTAGATTGAATACGCCGTGTATTGTATATTTAGTGGAGGGAGAGTATACACGTGCATAGTACACCATCCGAGTCAACCCCTGTACTGTATTCTTATGTTCTTGTTCTTCTTTTTGTCATCACAACCGATCCTACGTGCATTTATTTTATTTATATTGCACGAGCAACCCCAAACAAGGACACGTGTTTTCACTTCGCATAACGCAAACGACGGAATGGAACGAGCGTCATAGAAACACCAAACCGTGAACAGTTACTAGAGATTTTATGGCGATCGTTGACGTATCTATTGCAAACTGACAATAATTTGAATTAAAATAGGGCGCCGCATATCATATCAAAGGGCATCATAGTTCAATAGTATACCATACACGTAGGACGACAAAGACAAGTGTATTTTAGTGTCATTCGTTTGATCATAGATAAATACAGGACATACATGGTTATATTATGATACGCATGACAAGAATAACAATTTCGTACAAAGATAAAGGTACGTTGTTTGAACCTCACGTTTAGTATATATCAGTAGATTGAAAGCGTCAAACAGTGGGTAATACTTATTGGAGGATTTCTGGTACCCTACCCGCGGTAGATATCTAGATGTTTTTATATAATAAATATATTATGCATAGATATATTAATTATATTGTAATGTCGTATTTTTATCATCATAAACTTATCAAGATAAAGGTTTATAAATATTAGAAAGTTCAAAGTTATTGATCCATTGAATCTATGTACGAAAACGGAATATCAGTTCCGTTTATATATACATGTATTAACAGAATTAGTTTATCTGGTAGTGACCAGGTGGTAATAAATATATCTAGTACAGAAGAATATTACGCGACATAAACAGCTTGTTATGATAGTTAAACTGAGCTAAAAGGGGAAATAAAAATAACTGAATTGCGCAGCTTCCGATAATAGATGTTTGAGACCGACAATAATTGCTCAGTAGAAATATTCCGTGATTATCTTCTTTTATAATACAGCCATTAATACCTTAAAACTTCTAAAATATTAATTTTAAAAGACGCGCCACTTTAATGATTATTTTAATGATAAATATGTAAATTGAAACTAAATTTTATATATTTATGTTCACGCATTAGGGCACCTCAGTTTCACATGCCGGAGGACGCCACACTGCCGATCATCATGATAGGCCCCGGTACAGGTATTGCGCCATTCAGGAGCTTCTGGCAACAGCGGAAGATCGACCGGGACATGCTACCCGAACCTACACGTAAGCATGTTGTAGGCATTGCATGTTCGTATGATTGTTCATTAGACATTATCTACAATGACAAGTTCAAAGTGCCATACAAAGAATATGCACAGTATCTATAGGTGTTTTTGTCAATGTTTCTTATTTTGTTTTATCTATCTAGATACATAATCTAAGCAAACCACTCATTCAATCTTCATTAATAAAGAAACAGAATTAATATAATTCAAGAAATAAAAGTTAAGGCAACGATATTCACGTTTGGGATGTTATTAGATATGTCCGGATTTGTTTAATGGATCCAACCGCTAACAACCCGTCAATGCTCATAGCAATAATGTATAACGTGAACAACACATTAATGTATACGTCAAAGTAAGGAAATCGTGAGATTTAAACAAAGTATTAATAGAAGAGACAAACGTGGATCAATTAAGTATACGACTATGTCATTCCTTTAATTTCCAATATTAGCCTAATGGTCACTTCTGATACATGAGTCCTACACAGGAAGATGTATTGTGATATATAACCAAGACAAGGATCCATGCACGACCTGCCCAGTTCTTTCAAACAAGTCATACCTAATAAGATACTGTGTTTTATCTTGCAGACGGAGAGAAGAAAGGATGGGGCGACATTCACCTCTACTTTGGCTGCAGGCAGAATGATATGGACCATATCTACCGATCTGAGCTGACCCAGTCAGAGGCTGACAAGTCCATCACAAGTGTTTACACAGCTCTGTCCCGGGAGCCGGGAGTACCGAAGGTAGGCTTGACATGCCATTCTTCCTGGACCGGAGTACATATCGTAACAATATAGAATAACTTTTATATCCCAGGAAAAATATATGTAAACATCCCCTGCTATTGCTACAGGGACAGGAGTGTCCAAGACAGGAAAAGCATAGCAATGTCATAGGATGAGGGGTTTCAATTACACTCTCTAACACTAAGGCACCAAGGTAAGCAAGTCAGAGCACTACACAGGGTGATACCAAAGTAAGTATGTCATAACTCTGCCCTAGGAGCACCTCAGGCAAATATGTCCTAGCACTCTGCCATTTAGGCCCGGGATTCTCTAGGTAGACAGTTCACAGTAGTACTGAAGGGGAGTGGGGAATACCTAAAGTGTCACAGCATAGACCGGGATTCCAAAGGTAAGCCTAACACAGCACTGTACCAAGGTAGAGATATAACCGTAGTATCCTGGGATCCGGGATACCAAAGAAAACCTGCCACGTACTTAGTTTTTGATTCATTATGAGAACATAATGAAGAAAGAAATTTATCACAAATATATCTGATTCCACAGGTGTACGTCCAGGACGTGCTGAAACAAAACGGGAAGCAGGTGTTTGAACAGATACTACGTCGGGGAGGACACGTATTCGTGTGTGGTGATGTGCAGATGGCAAATGATGTTTCCACTACTCTTTGCAAAATCATCCAGGAATATGGAAAGTTATCAGCGGAAGATGCAAAATTCGTCATGCTGAAATTAAGGGTAGGTTAAGCAAAAGACTGTAAACGTGAAACGTTACCACAAAATGAGCATTTAGCGTGATATGTTTTATTTGAAATAAATGAGAAGCAAGTAGAACTCTTATCTTTACTGCATAAAACTGAAAAATTACAATTTCTAATTAGTAACTCAAAACAAAAACGTAACTTTTTTTGAGAGTGCAACAAAGCAATTTTTAAGAAAAAAGACAAATCTATAAAGAGAAGGCGGTATTTCGGATGTTCTTGTTTTTATGAAAAAATAATTAACATGAAATAAGCGAAATAAAAGCAAACAATAATGTTCTGTGTAAAAAACGTGCAAACGCAACGATTTAATACCTAGATTCGAACACTAGAACCCTAGACCCCCTAACACAAAATGATTGCTCTAATTATAGCCCACTAAGATACTTGGTTAACTGTAGTCCTAGTATTAACGAAACTAAGGGGAGTTAACTACTTGTAAGAAAGACTACTGTTTAATTCTCATCTGTTTTGCTTGAAGTAGACCCATGTCTGTAATGTTAAAATTGGTACAGATAGTTAACCTTTTACTTGTTATCATTTGCAGGATGCAAATCGGTTCCACGAGGACATTTTTGGTGTAGGTGTCAAGTCCGAGGCTACTGCACGTGACCAAGCGAAACGAGCGTGGAAATATATTAACGCTGCAAGCAAGCCGACATCCAACAAGGAGGTCGTAACTCCAATACCTGCTGCTGTGAGTACCCTTGTCACGTTATGGGGCAATCCCTCCGGCAAACCGTACAGCACGAGTACTGTAATGAATTAACATTGTGGGGGCAATCTGTTAAACTTACAGCACATTTACTGTTGTATTTTGCATGAACCCTTGAAGTAAAATTTACAGCACAATAATCATAATGTCTTAACTTTATGAGACAATCCCTTGAAATTAAGGCATATATATTGTTATGCTTTAATGTTGTGTTATAACTGTACATCACGTTTATTGTTATGCTTTGAATTTGTGAAGCATCCACTTGATCCCCTTAACATTACTTTACAGCATGGCGATATGTTTTTTCTAACGTCGTGAAGCAAACCCTTTGAATAAACGTACAATGTACGGAACATTTGTAGGTATATTAAGCCCCTTGAAAATTTCAGAGTATTTACTGATATGTTTTAGGATTGTGTGTCCATGCGTTTTAATTCACTCTCCAGAACATTAATGATTATGTTTTAAACGTTATGGAGCAACCTGCTTTAACTGCAGCAGACAACCCTTCTATTGAACTATTGAACTTCATGAAATACAGCTAAGACATTAAGAACAACGGAAAATAGGCTCCCTTACATTTTAAATTAAGGGTTCAAAATGTTTTGAATGGACGCACATGCACCTATTTATTTGTTGACTTTGGTTGTCATTTGCCCTTCAATTATCTTCAAGTGCGGAACAGATATGAAATTTTAAACACTGCACCAGAAAGTTTAATTTTCGCCGTGTTCACATTCTACAACGAGGAAAAGTTTAACTGTATAAGTGCAAAGCATACTGAACACAGTACGTCATTCGTGAATGGCAAATTCAACAATAGCTTTATATAGTTTAAACAGATAATAGATAATTAACTTTGCGAAACTTACCCATAGTATGCCCGACATGTGCCTGGCAAACTACAATGTTTAATTATTTTTTTTGCAGTTTAAAGCACACTATTTTATATTCCATATGTTAGATAGATATTAATGTCAGCTTTCTGTCAATATTACAAAAGTATAGAAGTTTCGTAAAATGATATTGTTTCAATGTAATCATACGTAGGGAATGAATATCCGAAGACGGGTGAAAGTTGACATATCACCAGTTGTATAGGTACATAGTTATAGAACACACATTGACATTATAAGTCATTTGATTTCAAAGTTTGAGGATCAATTTTCAATATTTCAATTTTCAGGGCATTTGTTGTTTATTCCCGTTTTTCAAAACAAGGTTGTATATAGCACGAGAAAAATAAAACATGTACCTTTTCTTCACCATATAGCAATGCTGATTATATAAACATATTGTTACGAACATTGTACCAAAACATATTAACCAATTGATTAGAATTCATATATAACTAATAGCATATTCTTGTTATGAATCTATTCTTGTAATACCTTATATATACAGAACATATATATCACCTGTTTACACTTCTTTTGGTTCGATGATGTTAAGTCGTATTATGCCGTTTATGCTGTTTACTAAGACCTCGTTCCGTGTGAAACAAAATAAGTTCATAAATTGTCTTATATTTTATTGAATGTAAATATATAATTGGTATTTTAAGTAATACAATATTATTCCAAAAATAGACGTTTCTGTCTTAATTGCTGCAGAAGTTCTTTGTAAATATGAAATGTAGAAAATTTGCAACTTTTGGTATTACTCAAATAATTTGAGCATATAACAAAAGAAATGTGTACAAGTTTTGCTTAATATGATTAGCGATGATTCGCAAGATGAAATATTAATGGAAAAAATAAGCACTATCGGTAAATACTTAACATCACCAGATACTAAAATTAAACGAAGTGTAACGCAGCGTGTTAAATATATACTCACTCAATAAAAAAATAACGATTGACATACATATCCTATCAATAACTGTTGAGATATAAAGACTTGTAAAAGCTAGACTAATCACAAACTAGTTTACATACACCAGAAACAAGACTTGTGTCTTTGTGGATCATAACCTATCACAAATGACGACTGATGCACATGTCTAGCTGGTGTTGTAACGTTCTGCCTCTACCTGGAATTCGTTTTTTTCAATTCATGTAATATGACGTTCGTTTCTTCTTCGCTGTGATTGGCCGAAACCACTTTTTACAAAAAGCCTATTTTGACTGGTAACTCCTGAACACCTGCGCGAAAAGTCAAAAATACAATCTGGTAACCTCGAATAAAAAATAGCGACAGGAAATATCCATGACAAATGATATTTTGGCGAATCAGAAAGCAGAAGAGTTGATCGTCGGTCAGTACTCGATGTCCAACGACAACTTTAATATATTTAATTGCTGAAAAGTATGAACGGCAACGTATGTTTCCCTCAAACAGACCTTAAATTTTGTTTTTTAAATACATATTGGTGTGGCCGTAAAAATGTCCAGTGATTATTAAGCAGAGAACAGAAAACCAACATATTCTGAACCTGTACTGCATACGTGTCATATAACAAATCACTTCCTGATATTTCTTTCAGTTAACAATGTTATTTGTGAACCATTGAATGATAATATTCCCTTTGGCTTTCTGCCTCTGGAATATTCCTTTCTCTGATCAACAAATACCCATATTGATGTAAAGGAAATCAAGAATTGAATAATTATTACATCACCTGCTTTCTTGGATTTACATACATTGACTTGTTGTACTAACAATGCTTAACTGTGAACATATAATTGCATTGAATTGTATTCCATTTAGTCTGACATTACGGAAAGCTGAAGATGAAGGTACTACAGGATTAACTGATAGCGTCGCTCCTAGTTTTATAATTTTACCCTTATTGGTGTTAAACATTTTCTTTTTGTTGGATTTTGATTTTCTTACACTTATATTGTTTCTTTTTAACCGATGTGTGTTATCATTTACTTTCTATATAAATCGCCCTTTAGCATTAGTCGTAGTGGGTTTCCTAGGTTATCCTTAAAACATGAACCATTAGAATGTGAAGTTATAGTTTTATATAATTAGTCTTAATTGAGGTTTAGGTAATCGTCAATTGCACCTCGATTGTTTTATGTAAACAAACCATTTTACGTTTCGATGGATTGGTTTTGTCAAATTATAATGTTTCATTTTTTTATCTATTTATTTTACGGATGTTTGTCATCAACTTTTTCACTGTCAATGCAATTTATGATTAACCACTTATTTGACAGTAGTGGAAGACTACGCTATCTTCATAACTTTCGTGTAATTTCTGTTTACAGTCTACACTGCCGTTAATTGATAGTCAGTCTTCTTGAAAACTTGAGTTATCATCTCATAGCCTAACCATAGAAAGACAAACGTTTTCGTTTCGTGTGACTACAATACGTGTGAGTTGAGTTTTGTATTTTTCCACGAAACACAAATTACATGGTGCATTTAGTGTGGAGCTAGCATATGGATAAGAAGTCCAGACTTGTTTAAAGAAAGACAACTCGTCATGTTTTCTGACGATATATTTTCCACACTCCAATCAAGGGGTTTATATCTATAAACCACAATAGAAACGAATGCAGTCAATAGAGAAACGATTAATAACTCGTTTGGTGAGACTATGAGGTGAAACTCAAGTTGAGCACGATGATTGGTTTCACTCGTCTTTTACTGAATTTATTTCTGTGCATTACCATTTTTTTAATACACGTTCCTTTACTTGTAGATCATGCGTCACAAATGTATCCCTATTCACACATTTTTTAAACGGAATTTTGCTGAATCTTCGTATCAGTATCTTTTAGTCTATTAGGATGTTGCATGCTTTTTACCTTAGTTTTTTTTGTAAATTATATATATCTTCTTTTTATATTACCTTTTTAACCTATTGATCACATTAAACATTTCGTTTGTCTATAAGTTTGTATATTGTTTATATTAAAGAATCAAACAACCCAGCACACAAGATTCGTTATATCAATCTTCAAAGCCTATCTATAGTTCGGCTGTTTATATTATAACATCAGACCTGTGAGCATTCCGTGCTATGTAATTAAGCACATCAATAAACGATACTAAAAATGAACAGCAAAACTTAACTGAAAATATCCGAATTCAAATAATAGTGCTATTGGTTAGAAACGAAATATTTGCATGTTGGTAAAATTTGATCAGTATTGATAATGTCTATCTTTTCAGGACAAGCGTACACCCCGTGGAAAACCCCGACCCCCCTTAAGAAGAACATCCATACAGCTGACTTCACCAGAATGAGTATGTGCGAGGACTATTATGACGTCACCTATTTCTACGTTGAGAACAAACTGATGACGTCACGGAAGAATTATTTTATAGACTTATGATATGCATTCATTTATTTCTATATTTTGAAAACTTTGACTATGTGCAATTATCTAAATATTCCTATCGAAAACATAAGAACGTGTAAGATAAGTAAACCACAAAATATTTGCATTTTATTTCATCATATGTGTTTCAAATTCACCGCTTGGTTATACGTTACTTCGTGTGACAAGTTATAACATTATATAAACTCGTAATAAAGTAACAAGTAGCAGTAAACACAACAGTCACAATACAATGTATCTGTATTCGTTAACAACACCATAATTGTACTTGTGTTTCCTGTTTTATCATGATGGCACATTTAACTACCATGCGAATATATATATTCAGATAGTATTGAGCAATGGAGATAACACAAGTGTTTAAGAACGAAAACTGTCATTGGGGTTCGGGATGGGATGGGTCGGGGATTTCAACCAATGACATATATTTGGTTGCTGAATTTCATGGGGCGGACACGTTCTTATAAATATTGTTGTGCTTTTCACGTAACATCCTACTTTCCTTTTAAATATATCAGCATCATATCCCAACGTAAAAGTTTATACAAATGTCACCAAAATGACAGACTTATCTTGTGACATAATTCATTCCTATTCTACTTCGCTGATGTGTAAACGGGATGTGTTTCCGGTTATTGTTGATATTTGTCCATTCAAAAATAAGTATACGGAAACAAAATCTTTTTAGTGGAGGAAATCAATGTTATGTTGTAAACAGAGCGTGGTTAACGTATCAAATAATCTTTCTACGACTTCTGAAAAGAAAATTTCCAGTATGTAAATATATTTCTTCTAAATCTGATAGAAGTATAACCAGGATCAAAAAAAGAACAGAAATGTACATAGCTGGTTTGCTAAGAATGCCTCGTCACTTTTATAGCTGATTCTGTAGCATAGCAAGCCATTTAGGTACATCGTATCTCGTGCAATGTTAGAAACAGTTCCGGGGTTTATCTTGTCATTTCTATTGGTTTATTCTATTTTCTTAATAAAATTGTTTCAATAAGAGTACGTTTGCCTGTTTGACACGCAGCACATTATTATAATCAGCAATGCTTCAGATATTGATTTATGTATTTACAAATATCATTATTGTTTTTTGTTTAGTCGTCCAAGTCACATCAACTTATTTTTGCTTTAGGTATATTCCCTTTTATCTACTAAACAAAATGTACAGCTTAAAGTGTCGCAAAATCGTGCATCTTACTGAGATTGAAATATCTTTCTACACCAACACGTTTGTAAACACTTTTCTTCAAAACGAAATCAATAGGCCCAATCTTTTGAGCTAAAAGAAACATTGTTGCATGATGGACAAATGAGAAGTTTGATATTTTCCTGATATTGAAATAAAGTTCGCAATGTCTGTAAATCAGCATTTTCTATACAATATCTCACAAAGCAATGTTTTAGTTTATGTGGTTGGAACGTTGTTTGTTTACGCGTCAAACTTATAGTTATCGTCAACGTCATTGAACTTGTGAAATAACCCATGCAGAAAAGGTAATTTCGTTTTAAAATAATCATGTTTAGTTGTTAATTTGCACTCTTTGAGTAGTAAATCAAGTGATATTCATTACGACACATTTCAAAGTATTGCAATCTGTTTGCCGTGTTATGTTGTTTTACAGAACAGTGTGACAATATGTTACATGCTAATCATGTTGGAAGTTGTGATTTAAACAGTAATACGTAAATTGGTTCAGGTGATCAGAAAACCGACATGGTAGAGTTAAATAGCTTTGCCGATATTATTTGGGGTTTACATGATATAGCAATGTCATTACACCCCTCATATTGGTAGACGCAAGCTACCCCTCATATTGGTAGACGCAAGCTTTACCTGTATATATCATTACATCCTGTTTCTCAATTGATGTAAATCTTTGACTTCTAATCAATATATTTTTACATAATTCATAATCAAATGCTAATTAATATTTTAAACTAAAGTATTATTCTAGTTTGTAAATATATAAATGTGTGTGTTATGTTTTGTCCAATATGAAATAATTAATATATAATGTCTCTTCTCCAGAGAAAAGAGTGGATATCTATACTTGTACAGAGAGGTGTTAACTAGTCTTGTTATGTTTAAAAGATTGAATCTGTAATCAAAGGACTTATGATTCGGACGTATCTTGTAGAGCAAAATATTGAAAACGCCATTATAATATAATACATGGGAAATTATATATATTCTACACTATCAATTAGTGTGACCAATGTCCACAAGAAATAATTGCAAATTTTGCATATTTTTTTTTATTTGAGGTCAGCTCGATGCTAAGATACGTATGCTTGCAATTTAATTACTGTGTACCATTCTGGACTGCATGTCAGACTGCACGTCTGTGGCAAAATAGCAAGAAATGATGTCATGAAAACAATTCCTACGAATTGAAATGAACGGAATATATGTAGTTTGATATGTCGATATACAGCAGCGAATTATAAGATTGACGGTTGCAGGATTAACATATGTATGAGAATGAAAATTAGTTCAGAGTAATCGCTAATTATATACGAAAAAAAAGAGTCTCTTCACTTATGTTTGGTACAGCAATAATAACATAATCATAATTGTTTTATATGCATTGATCGGTTCATGTGGGGACGCAGGTGTAAAAACAATTAAGTATTGTATAAGGGTTAAACACGTCATGTGGAGACGGTTTTATGACAAACAAAATATCCGATAATTAAAATTATATTTAAACAGAATGTAATCGGACGTTTGCTGCATTGTTAGTAGATTTAGAATATATCACTTGACTGGAACATTTTCTTCAAAAAGAAATGTGTAACTTGGTACATATCTCTACTGAATGTTACTCAGAATCTCCTAACTGCTTTACATTATTCAAAATGCTGAATTAGATAATCTGCTTATTGGTTTACATATTTAAAAAGCTAAATTAACTTCATCAACTGTTTTGAAACATTCGCCATTCTTGAAATTATCACAATGCATGATACGGCCGCTATGATATGCATGACCCCAGAAATAACCTGGCAGTCAACTATGTTTGAACTATTTAAAACAAAACGAATGTTATGTTGAATTAAGGAAAACATATTCTGTGGAATATTTTGTCATTTTAATCACCTCTCAATTAACCCCATCTTTCCAATCAGTTGTACAATTGAGAACGTGAATAAACGAACTGGTCGCGAACAAACAAATCCTTTTTATCGATACAATAATATATGCCACTCATCTATGAAATTCAACACTAATGACCTGACGTAAGATCATTCCTCATAAGGCGACAGGTGATTATTGCAGGTTACACAGAAGATTATGGCATCGGAGATGTCACCACAGACTAACAATACACCAATAGCGGTTTACTGTGACGGCAAAGAAAAATGTTAAACCAAGACCTCTTCTTCTGTGAAAAATGTCTTTGTTATACGTAATTTAAGTTCTTTCTGCAAAAATAAACAAATAACTTACTTTGTGAGTTTGGTTTTTATTCTTTTTAATGAAAAAATGTCCATATTTAGGAGGGAGACTCCCGATTTTGAACCTATAAATTGAGTGTTTTCAACCAGTGAATATGCTTAACTGTTTCTATATTCTAAGATCTAATGATTTCATCTTAAAAAACAACAAATAATATGTAATTTTAAAGGTTATTTTGTCTCCAGGGGTGTAAACACACATTTTATTTATGTTTTAATTTTGAGCATGCAGAACCTCCCCGTTTGAAATTTCAAAAAGTTGGCAAGTATCCTACTGTCACTCAATATGACATTGAAACATAAAGAGAAAATTTACTGACACTGGGTTTAACGGATCAACACACAGTAAACCGAGCTTATCTATAATCATTCAACATAAAACGCTTGCCCTTCCGAAACACCTGATCTTATTGCCCTTGTTCGTTTTCAAAGGTCCCATTGCAAATAATTCCATTGTTTATATTTTGTCCTTGTCTTGACGATTTTGAGTTCGAATTTTGTTATATATTGGCCATGAACGATGTTGATTCTTAATACATAAACATTTAAATGTCAACTCAAAACGAAAAATAAATGTCAAAACTAAGTCTAGGAGTCGGATACATATCATGCATATGATGTCCCACATAAAAACCCATAGGTCACTGTGATTCGTAAGGGTACGCGTTTTCTGCACCACTATCATTGTTTGTTTAAACTCTAGGAAAGACAAATTGTTGTATTGTTGACTCTAGCAATGACCAGCTAACAGGTGGAAACTTAAATGTATCGTTTGATGGAGTGTTCATTTCTAATGCATAACTATAACGTTTGGTACAATATCCTAGAATCGAACTAGCGGTAATATGTTGAGTGAATGGCCACTACATTAAAAATATACAAGACACGAAAATACGACAAGAAAAGCATGTGTATTACGAAGGGTGGAAAGCGGTCACACTAATTTGCGCCATAGGTGCGCCATAGGAGATTTTGCACGCCATAGCAAACTGTAAGTGTTTTATCCAAGAAATATTTCGATTTTTCCATTGGTATACTCATTTAACATGTTTTGGTAAAGTATCATTTAAAAAAAATGTGTACTTTGTTAGAAAATCGATCTTGATTACGAAGCACTTTTACACTAATTTGCGCCATACGTGTTTTTACACGCCATAGCAAAACATAAGAATAATTTTCAGCAAATAACTGTGTTTTTCCTTTGGTATATGCAATAAACAGGTTGTGTCAAAGTTTCATTCTTAAAAAATGTTTATTTTGTTAGGAAATCGACAAAATATTTCTTCGCGATTCAGAAGTCAATTTCAAGGGAAGTAATTTAACTTTAGTTACTTTAATAATGAATTAATTGGGTATTTCTTCGCGATTCAGAAGTCAATTTCAAGGGAAGTAACTTTAGTTACTTTAATAATGAATTAATTGGGTACGTATGTGTAGAATAAATACAGTCCTTCGTCCGTCAGTAGGATATTATTGTAACGGAACTTGAGTTGCTGAATATCATTAACGTAAATTCATGGATATGTGTACATTGAACAATAAGAAAATACTGAAAAGTCACCGATGTAATATGACAAGACCGTGTGTTGAGTAACAAATACAGCTAGTCCTTATTCTCAAGGTACATGTACATCTCTTAGAGCAAGAGAGCAATGATCATGATCACTTGAATGTTTGTATCAAACCAATGAGCACTTTGCATAAAACAGATCTGACAAGACTTGGGCAATGATCTTGTATTCAATCACATGTATTTTCACCTTTTTACATACAGTCAAACAATACAACCTATATAATCAGACAACGAAATATTGATCACGTATCAATAAATCTAGTTTAGTAACATAAACATTTATTTGCATTTTCATAAATTTCATCTATATAATTATGTAGTATATACACGTAACATTACATTGAACATTTATCAAAGGAAAATTATACTTAGCACCAAAAGCCATAGACAGTGTAACCACCAACCAAATAAAATGTCACATGCCTTACTTGCTCAACAACACTGTTTTATTAATATTTATGACTCGTATGACCTTGGACAATGGAATAAAGTAAACTTGAAAGTCTGACAAACACAGTAGGTTGCAGGATAAGTGACTTTGATTACCTTGAAAGTAGGTGAAGATCATTCACATGAACACAATTGACAACTTTCTTCGTCAGTAATCTACCTATAAAATATCATGACTCATATAGTAATTATCTAGAAGATGCTTATAGTTTAACTCTTCTGGATCATGTAACCTTGTAAGTGGATCAATGTCATTCTTTTGAACAAACTTGATAGCACTGAATACCAACATGTTACAGGACAATTACCCTGACATAAGATCTCAAAGATGGGCCCATTGCCTGTTTTTGTAGCACTTTTTGAACACAACCTGTTATTTAAACCACATAAAATGAATCCCCTAGTAACTTTTAGGAGGTCATTGGAAGAACGGTTGCACATCAGTTTCTGTATAAAGTACATCATGTTCTTACAACCTGACTTCATAAGTCAATTCAGTGTACATAAGTTGACTGTAGGCTGGGTAAACCCATCCCCGTAACCGACTGTCTCCACAAGCTCAGGTTTTTGGTCACACATTGGACACAGCCTGTTCCTGACCTTGGACGACCTCATCCACACAATTAGGTTGTACCGTTCCCCCGTGAGTATTGGGAGAGCCCCGTGGTAGTGCTGCCCTCGGTGAACAATCCCAATCCCGGCCATGTGTTCGTACTCGGAACACTCAGTGTCCTCCACTGATACTGTCCTCATGTCACCGAAGTATAGTGAGCCTCCCGTGTAATTCTTGCCCAGTGCCACATTTAATGTCACTTCAGCGTTGTCATAGTGATAATTAAGGTCAAGGTCCTCTCCCATTTTGTACTGTACAATAAAGGCCTTGTGTGAGTCGAGATAAGCCCCTCCCCAGTCAGGATACAGGATCGCAGCTAATTTGTGGAGGTAGTTCTTTCGTAATGGGTTCAGGAAGCATTCATCGAATCCAAGTTCATTCAATAATATCTGAAATTGGGAAAATGTTCAAGTGTGCATTCAAATAAAATATCAATGAACCATGGAAACAACTGCAACCCCACATTTAAAACCACTACAGGGCATGGATATCAATATACCAGGCCATATGCAAAGTTCTTGCTGGACCATTTGAACTTCAGTCTATACTATATGTGTACCATATATAATTACTAGAAACTACAGGAAGCACATATTGAAAAGTTCAGTTTGTCAATGCAGAAACTAAACAAGGAACTCATTTTACTGCATTCTAATGATATGCTGCCAATTCAGGACTATCAATTGTACTAAGAATTAAAAGAATATTTAAATTTTTGGGTTTAAGTGTTTCGAAACATACTGTATGTAGAAACATAGCAAAAGGGTAAAAAAAAAGTCCTTATAGCACCTATAAAGGTGTAAAAGGCCTAGACATTTTATTAAACAGCTAGGAGTAGAGAAGTCTGATGATTTTGATGATGAGCCTGAGGTAGAATCCATAAGTGTTAACCCCAATACTTCTCTTTCAACAGCAACAAACTAACAAGCACAATTTACGGAAACCTACCCCATATTTGTTCATCGTGTTGGGTCGTCCCTTGGGGCAATCACTGTTTTCAAAATGCTCTAGTTCTTCCATAAATAGTTGACAGAATTCTTTGGTGAAAACAGGGAATGAGTACACCCGATCGCCTGCAAATATAGTACAATATGATATCAGGCAACTAAAAAAATCAAATAAGTCAATAATTTGATTTACACTAATTATATAAACCATCACCAGCAAAACTTTTTACGCCTATCATCATTATTAATAATTCTATCAAATGTTATTGAAGTTGAGATTGAAATTCCTGTCCTTGCTCCTGCGGAACTAATGTTAAACATCAGATCGTCTATTCTATCAACCACAGAAGTACCTAACAACTACCTCTACTATGAATACAGTAGAACTGTCTTACACCTTTCAGGACTCCTATGTCGAGCACATCATCAGCCATTAAGTAAAATACCTTGAATATATATGTTAATAACCTCCTGCAGGACTGATGAAGTCTCACTTTTGATAAGATACAGTATCAATTCATAGTAATATCTTTCCTCCGATGGAACAGATGATATCTAGCACTTTATCATCTACGGTATTGAAACATAAAATATTTTGTGTCCTACATAACTGACACAGACATCTTACCTCCTGTGGGAGTGATGCTGGCTAGCACATCTTCAGCAGTTGTATCAAATCTTGAACAGAGGTCAATCAGCTTCAGAAACTCTGGAGCAAGATAACTCTCCTGAAATAACAAAATGGTCACTTCAACATCAAATTAAAGTTTAATATTCAAAAAGATAGTTTCAATAAAATATATTTGTTCTGTTTAGATTTTATCTAAAAGACTCCTTTGTAAAGGCTTTGCTCCTTAATTTGGTTTGCAGATAGTAAGTGGTAAATGAAGGACCATAATATAAAGAAACAATACTCCAGATTTATATTTCGTTTAATAATTTGAAGCTATGTGTATGAAGGTACAATCACAGAAACACAATATAAACATACATATTTACAAAGAAACCAACCGAAGGATTAACAAACAGTTTATTGACATAGAAACCAACTAGAGGATTAACAAACATTTAATTAACACCGACTTTGTATCCAGACTTTGTCACAGTATCTGTACCTATACATGTCTGTATACATGATAAGCATGATTATTATACCATTTACTGTCTAAGGGGAAATAACTTCATTCTGAATAATTTTTCATTTCTTGTTATATTAGTTTGTACCTGATTCAGTATAAGTTGTCTGTCACTGCATTTTAATTCTAGACCTTATTGAAAAATAAAATGGCCAACAGCAATTCACAGCTTCTCTCTGTTATGAAAATGCTGTTATTGAGTTTCTCTGTCGCAGATGAGAAATAATACACTTTACTTACACTAGCTCTTGGTCACAGTAATTGCACCTTAGCATATTTTCACTAGTTGTCAGTGTGTGACTTTTAAAATGATTTTTAGATTTATTTGAGTTTTCTCTGCACATTTCACCAAGCATAACAAATTTAACAAATAAAAGTAAAAACCAAAATAGCTGGGACATGCTTTACTGAGTAGCTGGGAGATAAAGAACACAGTGAGCAGTCTCCCTATAATAACACAATGTACCTTTAGGGTGTAGATTTCTGGATGAAGACGATGGTACTCTTTCTGAATTATCTGTCTCCTCGTCAAATAGTCCTTGCCCAAGTTTTTCCGTCTGTCCTGCTCCAATAAAAGCTGAAATGGCATGGATTAAGAACAATACCTAAGTTTTGAAGAAGAAAAATGAAGAAATATAATACAGGGGTTCAAAGCAAAGGAAAATAGGGGAAGCAGGAATACCGAACATATGAAGTAGTGGGTAGGTGGTACCAAACTAATCAAGAGGCTACAGAGTAAGACAGGAATACCAAATTAACAAATCAACATACACTAATACATATAAAATAAACTGATTTTCAAACGAAATCAAATTTAGATTCTTTAAAACATTAGTTAATGTCATTAGTCTTTGTAAAAGATAGTTCAATTGTAGGTATCAATAACTTAATTTTGTTTTATGATATGACTGAAAAATAAATGCACCGATGTGCTATTTTGGTTTGTTATTTGGGTAGAGTGTCGTTTTAACAGCTATAAGGTCATTTAACAATGTGTCTCCATGATTGTAATACAAGTCTGTGTGCCGTGTAGTAGATGGTATGTTGCATACAAAACAGTATGCCTCCTTGCGATAAATCAGATTTGATACCAACTTCCTCACTGACATACCATGCCATAGGCACCCAGCAGTCAATATTCAGCTCTGTCACATTATACTGACAACAGATTAACAAGTTGTTGCCATGACCATAAAACCTACACATTAAGCGAGGAATAACAACTGTCATTTTTAAGGACTTTGGTATGTTGACAGAGCCAATTGCCTTCCTCACATGGGCAAATGTTCAACACAACTGTCAAAAGTGAGTTACTGCTAAGCAAGGTGCTAGGAAACAAAAAGTATCAGGAAGCAGAGAGCAAATAAAAATATCCCTTCATATCACATTTTTCCTGTCATGCTTCAGACCAAATTTGGTTTGAATCCCTTCCTTAATACAGACTGCATGACTCTTTGAATCATGTTGAAATGTAATAAGATAATGCACACTAAAGAAAATATGACAGTAATGCTTTATAATTTAGCTTATGAACTATACAATTATTATTTAAAATCATGTATCTCAATTATCAAAGAATTTTAAACCCTGTACATATTTTAGGTATTTTGCCAGTATAAATCTGTGTATATGTGCGTTTGTTACTAAAATCAGCAGGAGTCGGAGTTCCATTTGATACTCATCAAACCTCTTATGATCTCTGTTTTCTCTGGTTTTATAAGAAATAAGAATTCCAAAATGTGACAGAGTTTTCCTTCTTGACTTCAGTAAGCTTTTGTGGATGCATGAACAAGCGTTTGCTACATACTATTACTCCAACAGCTTGATTACTTGTACATATCTGTATCAATGTTGAGATACACTGCAGCTGATGCTTACCTGATTTAAGACATGATCCAGTTGGACTTTAGTACTGCATCCTCTTTGATTCATTTCCTGAATAAGAACATTAGCAAAATAACATATATTTCATCATCAACACAAAGTGTCACATGTCTATTACAAGCACCATTGTCATTGTGAACCTAATGAACCTAGAGTTGCCAGTCTAGTGGGGACTGCTGCTGTTGTAATGATGCAGCATCTTAACGAAATCCTCATTACAAGGTTACAAAATTACTTGCCAACCCTCCCTATTTAGGAGGGAGACTTCCGATTTTGAACCTTTAAATTTAGCATTATCAATCAGTGACTTTGCTAAACTATTCCTATGTTCTAAGATGTAATGATTTCATCTGAAAGAACAACTCAAATTATGTCTTTTAAGGGTTATATTTTCTCATGGGGGTATATACACAGATTTTATTTAGGTTTTAACTTTGAGTGTGTAGAATCTCCCCCATGGAAGTTCAAAAAGTTGAAAAAATCAGACACTTAGTGTCTACCCATGGGTGGTCGGGTGGCGCAGTGGATAGCGCACTTGCCTTTCACCAAGGCGGTTTCCTCCCAAAGTAAGACCCCCACTCGCGCTAACACCCGGGCCAACTAGAGTGATTGGTATAAGTTGTAAAAACTTGTTTCATAATTGTTGTTAAATAAATAAAGTTTATATTTACACAAAAATTGTCACTTAACAATCATAGTGATACTTAATATTCCTTATACTATATAGATAAAAATGTATCCTAATTTACCATGTAACTCAAACTATTAGAAGTACATGTATCATTGAGAATCAAAAGATATGATTTTTAATAAGACTGGCCAAAATATATTAATTTACACAGAACTAACAATGATGATGTACGTACAATTAGCAGATGAATCATTTTCTTCATATATTACAACATAAATGTTATCTATTTAGTTACAGTAATATAACATCATTTTTCAAAAAGCAAAATCAATTTCTTACCTTTCCAAAATCAGTTAAAAACTTGTCTACATTTTCAAAAACCACATGTATGTTGTAATCTTTCAGGAAATAATTGTGTGTATAAAAGCATCTGCAGACAAAAAACTTAGGATCTGCCATCTTCTTCCTCATCGGTAGTTTGTCTTCACTCTTGTTTTATTACAAAGTTTCTTCTTCAACAAAATGTGGTCTCGTTAGTGTTGACGGATGTCAGATATCTGTTTATGAAGTTGATTAGATTATTGCTACCATTGATTGACAATTTAATAGAATCATTATCTTATAATAGTCACTGCTCAGTTTAACATACTTTCAGAACACGTGATTTATATGCACCTTTCTAAGTTTGACTGATTGTCATTTCATGCACAATCCATACAATTATTGGGGAAAAACGAATTTATATAATAAACACCCACATAAAATAAAGGCGGGTTACTGTGGTACATGTTAAATATGTCTAACTTTACACGAGTCAGCTCTCATCACTTCATGTCCAGCCTTGCTATTAACTTTGAAGCAGCAGTTGTATTGTTTTACATGTACTGCTCTTATGCACATACATTGTACCTACTGGTCAAATATCCTCGATGCACAAACACGCTAAAGGGAAAGTGAAAGCGCAATAAGGTCTGCGTTGATTAAAAGCTTGCAACGCCTGTGGACAATGTCATCGTGTAGTGAAACATCTTAATGATCCAGACATATCTGTCAAAATGGCTGCCCCCATTCCGGACACACCGGACCAGTCGACCTCTAAACCTACTGAAGAAAATCCCGACGAAAGCAACGCTTTTAGATTCAAAGACATATGGAAGGTACGGGAACATTATTATAGAGTTTTAAGTTAGACAGACGTCCTGTGATTCAACTAAAGTAATTTTAAATGTGTGTTTTCCCCTCACATGCTCTCAATCTCTACCAGACTACCTGTCTACAGGGCTGAGATTCACTATCAAAATAAGACCTATTCAGGGACAACCATGTTTGTGGGGGGAAGGGGGAACGTATGTACTGGTATATAAGGGTTGGGGTGCCCCCTCCATTTCTATTCCCTGCAACAAACATGTCATTCCCTGGATTACTCAAAACATTAGACGTCACATCAGGAAAAGAGACAGCCTGTATTATAAACACAAAAAATCAAAAAAGGTAAGAGACAGGGAACACTTCCTGCACTACAAACACCTGGTACAAAAGATGATTAGAGAATCCCATAACAGGTACTTAGAAGAACTCCTGGGAATCATAACACCAAACGAACAAGCACCAGGTGAGTAAAATCTTATTCAACAAAGAAATTGTTCAGCTTTTTGAAAAAAAGTCGACAATACCCCAAAGGTATAGGACCCCTTAAACGAGATGGCCTGCTGTACACTGACATAAAGCAAATATCCTAAATGAACAATTTCAGTCGGTCTTTACACCCAAATCGCCTCTCAGCCTTAAACAACTTTGTCAACAAAAACCATTGACCAAGGAATTCCCACCCAAGACCAAAAAAGTAAGTACCTACCGATGTCAAACATTACTTTCTCAGTTCCGGGAATTGACAAACTTCTTTATAAACTTAATCCCAATAAAGCGACCGGTCCTGACGCCATCAAACCAATAGTTCTTAAAGAACTCCATAGTGAACTGGCACCCATTTTACAGGTATTATTTCGATCATCATACCAAACCAGTGAGTTCCCATCCCATTGGACCTCGGCATACGTCGCTCCATTATTCAAGAAAGGTGAGAAAAATAGAGCTTCAAACTATCGCCCTATTTCCCTTACCTGTATTTTGTGCAAGGTCATGGAGCATTTTGTAACATCAAACCTCACGTAAGACATCTTGACACCAATAATATTATGTTTGAACTCCAGCACGGTTTTAGAGAAAAACGTAGTTGTGAAACCCAACTAGTCATGCTTATGGAGGATGTTTTCAAAAACCTACAAACAGGTAAGCAAACAGATTTAATTTTACTCAATTTTAGTAAAGCTTTTGATAAGGTAAACCACGAAAAACTTTTATTCAAACTTCATCAATACGGGATACAGCACCTAACTCTCAAATGGATCAGAGGCTTTCTTACAGGCAGAATACGGCAAGTTGTCTTGGAGGGAGCTACTTCATCAAAAGTCCCGGTAACATCAGGTGTACCCCAGGGCTCGGTCCTCGGCCCAATTTTATTTTTAATTTATATTAATGACTTGCCACTAAATAAAACATCAACAGTGCGTCTCTTCGCAGACGACACTGCCATCTATCTAGCGGTAAGTAATCTACAAGATGCATACAGACTCCAAAAAGACCTTGACAGATTACAGTTATGGGAGAAACAGTGGGATATGGAATTTAACCCGAGCAAGTGCCAGGTAATACACATATCCAGGTCAAAGACGCAAATCCCCACAGACTATATGCTACACGGACAAGTACTTGAAACTATTCTACATGCAAAATACCTTGGTGTCACCATATCATCAAACTAAACACATCCAAAATGTAAGTAGCCAAGCCAACAGAACTTTAGGATATATAAAAAGAAACATCAAGGTGAAAGACAAAAAGGTAAAGGCTGCAGCGTACACGGCACTGGTTCGCCCTAAATTAGAATATTCTGCCTGTGTCTGGGACCCATACACCCAAGATCAAAGTAAACAACTAGAAATGGTTCAGCGCAGAGCTGCTAGGTTGGTGTCTGGCAAATTTTCCCCTCTGGACAGTGTAACAGACATGTTAGGGAGTCTGGGTTGGCAAACATTAGCACACAGAAGATCCAAAAGCAGACTGTGTTTATTTTATAAAATAGTCTACCAGACAGTTGCAATCCAAATGCCACCATATGTAGTCCACCCAATGAGACTATCAAGAAATGCCCACCCCCTATCTTTTCGGCAAATCCCTACCAATAAGGACTTTTACAAATACTCTTTCTTCCCCCTAACCATAGTCCAATGGAACGCCCTCCCGTTAGGAGCTTGCAGCAGTCCATCACTTGACACCTTCAAGAAGGCAATCAGTGATACTCCCTTTGTTAGGCCATAGACTATGTCAGCATATTTTTAACTTCACCCTCCCCCGTCCCCCTC